CTCAGCATCAGAACCTTCAGCCGCAAGAAAATAATGCACCTTTGTTCCGTCTGTTAATTTTGCCACTTGGGTCTTTTTTGGGTTTTAAGTTTCCTTTTTGTCCTTTCTTGTGCTTACTTGTACATGTTGGCTTTAGTTTGGCTCAAACTCGGACCCCAATTTCACGTCCGTTTCCAGTCATTATCCAGTGGAACAGCGAACCATGGAAAACTCCCATGGCCGTGAAATCCACTACCATTTAGCCCGGGCTCTTATGCATATGAATTACATTGCTGGTTTTCTCCCTTTCTTTGAACCATCCGTTGATTGGGATGACCAACCTCAATATCTGTATGGTTGTACCACCAGGGCACATCCACATCCTCGTCATCTCCACACCTTTGCGCCCCTTCCATCGTCCTCATCCGTTCCCTCTCTCGCCTCCCACGGAGACATGCCTTCCCATATGGTACTCAATCCAGAACCCAATTTACACCCTCTTTCAATCCGTCGGGACGCCAACCTATCACCAGACCATCATCCAGGCAACTATCCACCACAGGCAGGTCTACGTACACCTGCCTCTGAGGCCTTCCATCCCACCACACCTCATGATCCTGATGTCGAAGTTTCACGTTCTAAGACAAAATCATCTACGTTACTACAGAGGATTCTCGTCCAAAGAAAAAACAACGATAGACGGCCACTACAACTGTTTCCTCGAGACCTCCACCTTCCTTACCGGTCATCCGTGATATCCCACCAGAAGGTTTCAATTCAGAGGGATCTGAGGATGCCAATGACAGGGAACACTCCCCGTCCAATTCAGCTCATGCTGCGGCCAGATCAGCAACTTTCCCCATATGAGGTCCTTCTTGACGAAGGCTTCCATGGAAAACCCATCATCCTTGAAACTGAACCAGACCAAGAATTTCTCGGGTTTATGCTGGAAACTCAACCTTTGGAACTCATCTACACAGGTCCGACCAACATTTCCCAAGTCCTGTCACCATACTCTGCCTCACCACCGAAAGTTCTTCTGAGCGGTTTTCGATCTCGTTGTCACATTGTGGTCAAGGGTGCTTTTCCAGAATTTCGTGTTCGACAAGGTCTTGATCAACTAATTCATCTTTACGCGTTGGCAGGGTTTCCCAATGAGGAACTTCAAACCATTTCAATTCAGATTTTGACTCAGCATCAGAACCTTCAGCCGCAAGAAAATAATGCACCTTTGTTCCGTCTGTTAATTTTGCCACTTGGGTCTTTTTTGGGTTTTAAGTTTCCTTTTTGTCCTTTCTTGTGCTTACTTTACATGTTGGCTTTAGTTTGGCTCAAACTCGGACCCCAATTTCACGTCCGTTTCCAGTCATTATCCAGTGGAACAGCGAACCATGGAAAACTCCCATGGCCGTGAAATCCACTACCATTTAGCCCGGGCTCTTATGCATATGAATTACATTGCTGGTTTTCTCCCTTTCTTTGAACCATCCGTTGATTGGGATGACCAACCTCAATATCTGTATGGTTGTACCACCAGGGCACATCCACATCCTCGTCATCTCCACACCTTTGCGCCCCTTCCATCGTCCTCATCCGTTCCCTCTCTCGCCTCCCACGGAGACATGCCTTCCCATATGGTACTCAATCCAGAACCCAATTTACGCCCTCTTTCAATCCGTCGGGACGCCAACCTATCACCAGACCATCATCCAGGCAACTATCCACCACAGGCAGGTCTACGTACACCTGCCTCTGAGGCCTTCCATCCCACCACACCTCATGATCCTGATGGCGAAGTTTCACGTCCTAAGACAAAATCATCTACGTTACTACAGAGGATTCTCGTCCAAAGAAAAAACAACGATAGACGGCCACTACAACTGTTTCCTCGAGACCTCCACCTTCCTTACCGGTCATCCGTGATATCCCACCAGAAGGTTTCAATTCAGAGGGATCTGAGGATGCCAATGACAGGGAACACTCCCCGTCCAATTCAGCTCATGCTGCGGCCAGATCAGCCACAAATCCCACTGCACCAGTGAACCAACCTCAACCTTCAAGCCCGGCACCAATTGCAGCCAAGCCCAGTTCAAAAGCCATCACAATCAAAATCCCTTCCATTACATCGGACATTCCTCCCGCCAATATTCGACCTTGGACGGATGCTGAAGATCGCGAACTCTGCCCATGAAGAATGACAACAATTCCCGCCCTTCGTGGAAGACAATCGGTTTCAGACTTCGTCGCGACCCAGAAGTGTGCAGAATGCGTTGGGGCCGTCTCAAACAAATGCCTGAACACATGGCCCGCAATGAACCAGAAGCAGACGACTAAATGCCCAGGATTTTTAAAAAAGTGCTCCTTGCGCTGCCCTTTCCGTGTCGGTTTCAATGTTTTCTCTTTCTTTGTTCATTTAGGTCTTGTTGTTTTTGTGGCTTCTTGTTTTTTCAGCATGGCTCAATCGCTTAGCTATATTTCCATGACTCCCGATCGTTCATGACCCTCCCACGTGGGGCCACCCAAATCCGGATTGACCTCATGATCCAACGCATCAGAGGTCCTGGAACTACACTCCGGCACTACGCCGGACGCGACGGGCCTTGAACATCATAGATCTCGACCAAATCCAACACCTGATGACTGAACGCTTTAGCGACGTGATGCAAGCTACCACTTGTGACCACCTTCCTAACCTTTCTCAAAGTGAACAAATGGCGTTGTTCACTTACAGCTTCCTGTTGACCCCTGGTCAAATCCAAGGTATGTCGGTCGACAATATCCTCCACTACATCAGCCAGCATATGAACAATACTTGGGGGACATATCTCGAACCAACCTCAATGGATCTTCGATGGAGTGATTGCACTGGCGATACGTTTGCACTTCGTGCTCATCAAGCCATCATTCGCCTTCTACGTGAACATCGTCCACACTGGACTGAGGCTCAGGAAGTAGGTCTCTTCAACAGATTAGTTGACTTCACTAGTCCAGGTCAACCTTATACCATGCGTCTCAGTTGTCACAAAGCCTTGCCTAATCCGAACATGCTACCGTGATCGCTGTCAGGTCAAAATACTTGCGCGCTGCATCAATTTTATTTGTCATTTCGTCCATCACTAAGGCATCGTTGGCCTTACTGTCTTAGTCTAATTTTTTGTTCCTCTCAACTTCGTACATTTTTGGCTCCAGCCTGAAATATGACTAAGAGGGATTCCTCCTTTGCTGATTTAGATTCCCCACGGAACCTCAGATTCGATTCTTGGTCACAGCCCATGAACCCTTATCGCCATCGCCATGCTTCTGAAGCCGCATCTTTGTCGGCGGCTGATTCTTCTTCACGCCAGGGACTTCGTCTACCGGGTACATCAGCAGCACAGGGCTTCTACCCACCAGCTCCATTTGGCTACTCTTCATCGGCACCAGTCACTCCCATGCCAACCTCCAATCCGACCTGGCATCAACAAGAAGCATATCCACTTCAATCCGAGATGTCTCGGCACCGCCGGGTACTCCATACCCATATTTTCACATCCGGAACTCCAGTGCACAGGTTGATGATCACGGAGGTCGACAATCATGGTACGAACGAAATCGTCAACCGGAATTTTTCTTCAATGGAATGATTGGTCATGTTCGACCCTGGGGAGGCGGCTACATAGATAGCTGGGCTGAAGCCACCCGCCTATCAAATTACTGGCGCCGTTTTTACAACATTGATCAGGTCTATGATGATCACCCCGACTGGTATCCACAAGAACACCAATATCATGGACCGTCTGACAATGATGCCTTAGGTGATGAGGATGCAGCAATCTCAGACCTAGCAGATGATACTTCAGTGGCAGTTGAAACAGGCCAAATGTCTGTTCCAAGCCAGATCAACCAATTGGCCACTGTCTCGCACAACATCCTGATTGCGGATCGTGAATACAATGCCCCGATCCTTGGGAAGATTGAAACTCCCCCAGCGGATCCAAATGCCAATCCCATTCAGCTCTTGTCGGCAGCAGACTTGGCCCATCTCTCAAGCCACCTTGCCATTACGGCAAACAAACTGGCCCAACATGTTCAACCAGGTGACCTCGAGGATATCTCTGACATTTCGGACTAGGTCTTGGCCATCTTTGACTTCGGCTTTTGACTCCGGACACGCTTCAATTTTTTCTGTAATTCATTTTGTCTCTGGCATTTTGTTTCTTTGATCCGAGACCAGTTGACGGTATCAGAGCTTTGTTTCACTTGACCGGTGCGTCTTCCGAAAAAGCCCTGCGGCAGCAGGGCGTGTGTGTGTGTGTGAGAACCATCTGAATAGATGTAAAACTTCTAATTTTTCCAGTTTGCAAAGGCAAGGGGATTGAGAGGACATATGCGGCTCCATCCAACGAAGCTCCTCATATGATCCTAGGATATCACCAGGGACGCCTGGTGACGTACCTGCAGAACAATTTCAGCTTAGCAATTTCTCGTCAATGGCAACCGGCTAAGCCAAGACCGGCATGTCGTTTTTCAAACAGTTTTCCAACCAAACTTTCAGTTTTCCACTTGACGTCACTTCAATGCCTGTACGGATTGTCAAGGAGGTACCGATTTGGCTTAGTTCTTGCATCTAGCCGTGGCTTTGGGAATGGAAACTTCTTGATTCTGTCTCGGGTCTTGTCACGGACCCATTCCTGTCAGGTATAATTGGGGTGTTCGTGCACGTAGGATGCATTCTACATCAGAATTCGCAAAGATTGTTCTGAGCAAGTGTGTGTGTGTGTGTCAGCGATTTGCGTCCCTTAGAGACATCGAAAACAGATACCGATTCCAGCAGGGAGTTGGTCATTGAGTTCAGATGGCCTGCAATTGGTGTGTGAGTGAGAAGCGATTTGACCAAGGTAGCGTGGTAGATAATGAGCAGGATACGGAAATCTATTGAAGGGGGAAGAGGAGGAAATTCCTCTGTAACCAAAGGTTGAAAAGATCGAGATCACATACACGTTTGGTCGCTCCGTGGCTCCATTATACGTCGTGGCCCTTAGGTGAATCAGACCTCACAGTTGTGGAGCCCTGCAACGAAGAGCCATGCCACGAAAGGGTCTGCACAGACTGCCAGTGCGGATCTCAAAGTTTGGGATACAAGAGACTGCTGACCATTGTTATGCTTGCCGACGTCGCTTTTTTGCAGTTCTTCTCTGCGTGCACAAAAAGCGCTTCGCAAACACAGAGGGTTTAAAGAGTAAGGAGGTAGCTTGTTGACTCTTTGCCTGTTTTTCCCCACATGTGGGGTTCTTGTTTTTCGCTTGGATCCCGCCGGGGCTCCGCTCCTTCGCCTCCTCCGCCGCCTCCTCCTCACTCATCACTCATTCCCTATCTCCTTCAGTCACATCTCATCCCACTCACACTCACTCGATCACTCACTCACTCACTCACTCACTCACTCACTCACTCACTCACTCACTCACTCACTGACTCACTCACTCACTCACTCACTCACTCACTCACTCTCACTCTCACTCTCTCTCACTCACTCACTCACTCACTCACTCACTCACGCACGCACGCACGGCACGCACGGCAATCACTCACTCACTCACTCATTCTCACTCATTCTCACTCATTCTCACTCACTCTCACTCACTCTCACTCACTCTCACTCACTGCCTCACTCACTGCCTCACTGCCTCACTGCCTCACTGCCTCACTGCCTCAATGCCTCACTGACTCACTGACTCACTCACTCACGCACGCACGCACGCAGGCAGGCAGGCACGCACGCGTGGCAGGTGCAGTACAGAGAGCTTCCTGGCTGCCTTTCCCGTGGCAGGCGCAGTACACAGAGCCTCCTGGAGGAGCTGAGGCGCGCGTGGGCGCCGCTGGGCCGCGGCTAGCTTCGCGTGGCACGCGTGGCAGGCGCAGTACAGAGGCTGCCTTTCGCATGGCCGGCGCAGTACACAGAGCTTCCTGGAGGAGCTGCAGCATGCGTGGGCGCCGCTGGGCCGCGGCTGGCTTCGCGTGGCAGGCGCAGTACAGAGAGCTTCCTGGCTGCTTCCGCGTGGCAGGCGCAGTACACAGAGCGTCCTGGAGGAGCTGCAGCATGCGTGGGCGCCGCTGGGCCGCGGCTGGCTTCGTGTGGCAGGCGCAGTACACAGAGCTTCCTGGCTGCCTTTGGCCTGGCAGGCGCAGTACACAGAGCCTCCTGGAGGAGCTGCGGCGCGCTTGGGCGCCGCTGGCCCGTGGCTGGCTTTGGCGTGGCAGGTGCAGTACAGAGATCTTCCTGGCTGCCTTTCGCGTGGCAGGCGCAGTACAGAGAGCTTCGTGGCTGCCTTTCGCATGGCCGGCGCAGTACACAGAGCCTGCTGGAGGAGCTGCAGCGCGCTTGGGCGCCGCTGGGCCGCGGCTGGCTTCGTGTGGCAGGCGCAGTACAGAGAGCTTCCTGGCTGCCTTTCGCGTGGCAGGCGGAGTACACAGAGCCTCCTGGAGGAGCTGCGGCGCGCGTGGGCGCCGCTGGGCCGCGGCTGGCTTCGTGTGGCAGGCGCAGTACACAGAGCTTCCTGGCTGCCTTTGGCCTGGCACAGGCGCAGTCCACAGAGCCTCCTGGAGGAGCTGCAGCATGCGTGGGCGCCGCTGGGCCACGGCTGGCTTCGCGTGGCAGGCGCAGTACAAAGAGCTTCCTGGCTGCTTCCGCGTGGCAGGCGCAGTACACAGAGCGTCCTGGAGGAGCTGCAGCATGCGTGGGCGCCGCTGGGCCGCGGCTGGCTTCGTGTGGCAGGCGCAGTACACAGAGCTTCCTGGCTGCCTTTGGCCTGGCAGGCGCAGTACACAGAGCCTCCTGGAGGAGCTGCGGCGCGCTTGGGCGCCGCTGGCCCGTGGCTGGCTTCGCGTGGCAGGCGCAGTACAGAGAGCTTCCTGGCTGCTTCCGCGTGCGTGGCAGGCGCAGTACAGAGAGCTTCCTGGCTGCTTCCGCGTGGCAGGCGCAGTACACAGAGCGTCCTGGAGGAGCTGCAGCATGCGTGGGCGTCGCTGGGCCGCGGCTGGCTTCGTGTGGCAGGCGCAGTATACACAGAGCTTCCTGGCTGCCTTTCGCGTGGCAGGCGCAGTACACAGAGCCTCCTGCAAAACTGCGGCGCGCGTGGGCGCCGCCGGGGCCGCGGCTGCCTTTAGCGTGGCAGGCGCAGTACACAGAGCCTCCTGGACGAGCTGCGGCGCGCGTGGCCGCCGCTGGGGCCGCGGGTGCTTTCACGTGGCAGGCGCCACTTATCATTCACCCCTCATCACGCACCACTTGTCACATCTCACTCATCACTTCTCACTTACCATTCTCACAGCTCACTCACCACTTATCACATGTCACTCATCATTCACCACTCATCACTACACCACATCTCACTCCCCACTTATCACTGTCTCATCCCACCTTATCACATCCCAACTCATCACAGCTCCACTCTTCAAACCTCACTCATCACAGCTCCACTGCTCATCACAACTCATCACAGCTCCACTTCTCACACTTCCACTTCTCATCACTTCTCACAGGTCCACTTCTCATCACAACTCATCACCACTCATCACAGCTCCACTCATCATCACAAGCCATCACAGCTTCACTTCTCACACCTCACTTATCACATCACAACTTCTCATCACAACTCATCACAACTTATCACTTCCAACTCATCACAGCTCCACTTCTCACACCATTTCTCACAGCTCACACCACTTCTCACACCTCACTTATCACATCACAACTCATCACAGCTCCACTTCTCACACCTCACTTCTCACACACTCACTCATCACAGCTCCACTTCTCACACCTCACTTCTCACACCTCACTTATCACATCACAACTCATCACAGCTCCACTTCTCACACCTCACTTCTCACACACTCACTCATCACAGCTCCACTTCTCACACCTCACTTCTCACACCTCACTTATCACATCACAACCCATCACAGCTCCACTTCTCACACCATCTTTCACACACCCTCTTTGACACACCATCTTTCACACACACAACTTTGTCACCCACCATCTTTGACACACCATCTTTCACACACCACTTTGTCACACACACACAATCTTTCACACACAACTTTGTCACACACCATCTTTCACACACCATCTTTCACACACAGCTTTGTCACACACCATCTTTCGCACACCATCTTTCACACACATCATCTTTCACACGCAACTTTGTCACACACCATCTTTCCTCCACCTCCTCCTTTGTCTTTCCTTCCTTTCCCATCCCCGCTACAACATTTCTGGCGCATTATTGGAAGAAGTTGATTTGTGGGGTTATCCGGTCCTTTTATTTACAAAACATGTTTTCACTCTTTTGTTAGAATGTTCAACCTGTGCGACCTCACCGTTTGCGTGGAACCTTTGAACTGCTTGAACTGCCTTGCTTTATTTGACGTGTTTAGGCTGTTTGAACGATTTCCTTTGTTTGGAATGTCTGAATGATTTCTTTCGTTCAAAAGGCAGAAATTATTTGAAACAGGTAGCGGCAGCGCTTTGAACTGTTGTATATGCGCATGCTTGCTGAATACTTTCGTTCATTTGCTGTAGATGTACATACGATACATGCGCTTCATTTGACATTTGTATTCGCCAAGGTGGGGTGCTTGGAGTGAATGGGGTGGCTGCAGCAGGTGCCTGTGAGAGGTGAAAGAAATGAAGTAACCGAAGGTGCAAAGCAATACATGCAGAGCTGACCAACAGACATAGAAAACACAACACAAACAACACAACATATCTTACAAATTGATATTTGAATATGAATATATCAATGAATATGTATGTACAAATTTGTACATGTACATGTATATATATATACACAGTATACACATACACATTTACATGTAGGTATATTCGATATAATATATGTATGAATCTATGAATATACAAATGTATCGAAATTTATACATATATAAAGACGTATTTTTTTAGAATATGTAGATGTACAACTATATAAATACATAGTTACATAAATAAGTAAATTTAAGTAAATAGAGTAGGGATGTAAGCCAATAAAGACTCCAAGGCAGGATATGTAAATAGATAATATTTACAAATATATATTAATATAGAAATATGTATATGTATAAATATATATATATATAAATTTGCAAATATTCAAACATAGAGAAATATAGATATAAACATTCACACATTTAAGTATATATAGCTATTTTGCATATAGATGCATTTTTATGTAGCTATACACGTTCCCAAGAATTTAGATGCATAATTGCATGGTTTTGTAAATATACAAATATATAAATATATAGATACATAAATGTATTATTGTGTAAATATTCTTACGAACATACAGATACATAAACGTATGATTATATAAGTAAACACACACACACACATGTATATATAGAAATATATAGGTACGAATGTATAGAAAAACATCAATATAAATATACAAATAAAAAGGAGCATGAAAAAACAAAAAGAGATATATATATACCTCCAACTGTGGACGTTGTATGTATGTATGTAATGTAATGTAATGTACTGCAATGTAATGTAATGTACTCTTTGTAATGTAATGTATGTATGTAATGCAATGTAATGTAATGTAATGTAAGGTAAGGTAAGGTAAGGTAATTCAATGTATTATTGTTTGTATGTATGTGTTAATGTTTATATGTGTGTATGCATGCATGTATGTATGTATGTATGTGCGTATGTGTGTATGTGTGTATGTGTGTATGAATGTAATGTAATGTAATGTGATGTGATGTGATGTGATGTGATGTGATGTGATGTAATGTAATGTAATGTATGTATGTAATGTAATATATGTATGTAATGAAATGAAATGTAATTTAATGAACGTAATGTAACGTAATGTAACGTAATGTATGTATGTAATGTAATGCATGTATGTATGTACTGTAATGCATGTATGTATGTATGTATGTATGTATGTCATGCAATGTATGTATGCATGCATGTATGTATGTATGTATGTATGCATGTAATGTAATGAAATGTAACGTAAGGGTATGTAAA